GATCAAACCAACCCCCATTCTCCTATCAGTCAAGTGGGAAATCAATCAGGCCCTCTCATTACACCACCTCAACACGTTCAGAATTACATTTCGCATCTGGATCCTCATCCTCACCATCACCGCGTTTGTCAGATGTAATGACCTTATCTCCAAAGGATGCCGCAATCTCTTCGAGTGTGCGCTGCTTCGTTTCACTAGTATCCAGAATGGTTCAAATTAGCCCACAGCCTTTGCAGATAGAGGCGAAAGATCCACTCACGGAAAGTAAAAATAAGCCACAGTAAAGAAGAAGACAGTGCATGCTACGAAAACGTAATAGTAGTTTTCGCCGATGTTGGCGAATGCACTGGGGCCGGCTTCGGTGACTGTCAATTTGTGATTGGTTAGTATTGATAATACTTTGGTATTGATGGTGTGCGGGTGATGTGGGTTTGGGGGGAGTAAGGGGATGGATGTATGGGATGAAGTTTTGACTAACTGGCTACGTTGACGATAAAGTGTGATGCTGCGGCTAGACCCATTACTTTGCTCCGGAGGGCTATGGGGAGGACCTCTGCGCCGTAGAGCCAGGTTGTGCTGTTGAGCATGCCGTCTGTTTTGTTTCCGGGGTATTCTGTGTTAGTTTCATCTTTATGTGTTGAATTGGGGAAAATATTTGGGGACGTACAGTATGCTACTACGAAGAGATAGATTCCCAGAATGGCAAAGCCTTTTCCGACTCGGTTGTCGGTGTTTTGGAACTCGCGTTGCATGACGGCTGCGTAGATCTCAACGATAATGATTCCGCCCAAGCCGGATAGAAGCATTCTGTATTTTGTTAGATATGTAATATGGCTGGTTTAGCTGGTGGGTGATGTACTTCCGGCGACCCCACTGGTCGGTTAGGTATTTGGTGGTGAGGCAGTTGAAGATGAATGCCACTGTGCCGTATACAGCGGCTAGTGCAAGGATAGTATGCGAGTCTATTCCGAGGGATTTGTATAGAGTTGCTGTTGACTGTGAGTATCGAAAAAAGGCACCGAAATAGGGGGAGAAGGGGGACTAAGATGCGATACTAACTTTGATAGTACTGAATAATGGTTAGAATCCATCTTGTCCTTAATGCGGATTGTAGGGGTCACTCACTTGTATCACATTCACACCAGTAAGACTGGTCATGGTCTGCACAGTAATCGATCTATGGGCGTATCAGAGCAGGTACACTTTGGTCAGAATTGTGAACGACTTACACTAATGCACGGCGTCTAAACAGTCTGAATATATCCCTGTAGGAAGTTATTTCTCGCTCCTTCTCGTATTCAATTTGCGCCACCATTGCGGCAAACTCCTGCTGGAGTTCATCCGCCGGCACACCTCGACGGATCCTCTTATACTGGACCTGCGCCTGTTCAACTTTCCCTTTACGGATCAGATGGCGTGGAGAGTCGGGCATAAAGGTGATCAGTCCAAAGAACATGATGATACCCCAAGGCACTTGTATTCCAAGAGGAAGTCTCCATTGAACTGGTCCATAAGGCGCGTAGCTGCAAGCATATCCAATCCAGTTGGAGGCCATCGTTCCGAAGGAGATGCCGCACCCTGAAATGCCACCGATCAGGCCGCGATAGCGAGGGTCTGAGATTTCGCTCAGATATATGGGAACCGTAGCGACAAGACCACTAAGCAGGTACGGTATAATTAGCTATGCTTTGAAGTAGTTTTCTCCCCATACTGAAGAAAACTCACCCGACTGCATAGCCAGCTAACGCACGCCCAGCAAGGAACATTCCGATATTGACTGAAGCTGTCTGAATGACTGTACCAATTGTGACGACTACACACAGTAGCTCCATAAATCGAAGACGTCCAAGTTTATCTCCGACTGCAGTCTGAGTGAGTGCGCCGACTGCTTCGCCGGCAATGTAAACTGAGACAACCTAGACCTTCTCAGCTCTATTCTCAGCGAAAAGCGATGATCTTAGACATACAGCACCGGTGAGGCCATTGGAAGGGTTGTTCATGTAGTTTATCCAGCTTTGATGAGCGATTGCTAGTTTTGTCAGTAAATAACCGCAGAGTGACCATTTGCTATTCTTACTTGTCGTAGCGATGCCCGTATCGAATCCCTACGTATGAGTCTTTCAGCCGGGGCTCAAGGCATATAGAGCAATCACCTGAGTAAAGATGGTACTCACGAAAAGAAAGGTTCCAATTGCAGCAAACAGCGCAACGCCAATCGTAAACCACGCAGCCATCTTGACAATCGCGGGGCACAGGTGGAAGAAGGACGGTTAGAGATCACATATCGATAGTCCCTCTGCAAGGGAAAAGCGCCATCTTAACATAACGCTGTCTGTCCTACGTCAAGCAGGCCGTGCCAATGAGCATTCAGCCGAGGGTGCGTCATGATAGCAGCCGCTCGGAGTATGACCGACCGAAGGGCGCATGAAGTACAAAACTTGGTAGGGCAGACCAGATCATGGAGTCGTGAGGACCGTATTATGTGGGGCTAAGAGTTCAAGCACTGGGGTTTCCCCGCATTTAAGTCTGGGGGATTTAGTAGTAGATGGTTTAGGCCCGGGAGAGGCGTGGGGGTGACCTCTCAAGACAGGCCTCTTCGCATCATTGACTTGTCTCTTCTATCGGCCGGAAGAATGGTTGGAGTGAGCTTGATCCATGTGGCATACTTTTCAACGCGGTTAGAGCAAAGACAGGTGCAACAATCACGCAAAAAAAGGCTTGAGCAATTGGAGAAGTGTTCCAAAGAAAGTGCGAACTAAAGTGATTACGGGAAGGGAAAGGGGAGATCTTTTCCAATATTCCGAATGTCCAAAAGTCCGTTGTCTTGTGACTCTCCGCAATTGGTTACTCCCCCCTCTGCAGCCCAAATGTACATGGAAACAACACATGAATAGTAGAAAACTCATGTACAAGGGTTGAGAGTAGATCGTGCTAGGCTGGATTTTGTCTAATCTCCGAGATTGATAACACTACTGCAGTCATCATGCCACTTTCTAAGCCTACGTATAGTATTTACAGCACTAGTATTGTGACCATCAGATGCACCATATAATATATATCTCACACAGCTATAAGACTAGTGGTACTACTACCAGTGAAGACATACCCGCTTCATGCCCACTGTATGGCAAGTCTAGACTGATAGTATGTCACAGCTTTAATTCCATGGAGACCTAACCACCCTAAAATCGATGCAACAATCAAAGTAGGTAAGGGGACAGTCTTAAAACATCTCGCCAGTATACTCCGCAAACCCATTGACAGCCTGGACAAACAGGCACCAATCCACTAACCCCAAAGCGGAAGGACTCGCTTCCCACTACACAACACCCGGCAAATTCCTCGCTTAATCGACACTAGTCGCACTAGCGCCATTCCGCCCAAGCCGCCAGGGTATAAAGTCTCGCTGCACCCGCCCTCTCTTTAGACCTTTTCTTCTTTTCTTCTCCAGCTCTCTTTGCCTTTTGGCTTAGATCAAGTGTAGTATCTGTTCTTTTCAGTTTAATCTCTGAAAGTGTTCTAAGGAACACAACATTGATTAATCTTATTTTTGCACCCCGTGGCGGGACCTCTGTGCTTGCGCATGTCCTGCTACACAGTGTCATCGGGCTTACACTACCCCCGATCGACGCGAACACCCTTTTTCATCAATTTGGTCGGCTTGTCCGACTGGTTGGAGAAGAAGTGTTGTATAGTTGAATAGAATTCAGTACCTAAGCTAGAGTGAAGACACTGGCATCCGATTACTGTCTAGTACAGAGTAGCAATTAAGCAAAAGTCCAACCATGGAATTCTTCCAAGGTCAATGTATGGCGTAGTGGCTGTGTGTTGTGTGTGACTAGCGAAACGGAGTACTCCATGGAGGAAGGAAGTGAGGTGGTATTCTTTGCCAGAGGAGCTAGCTAGCTACGGTTTTGTTCATGCCATATTGAAGACCTTGATCACGGCACATTCCGCAGAATAGCTCCCCGTCAACTAGAATTGAGATACCAAACAAACTACAGAGTAGTTCAAGCCTACTTTCTTCTGATCAATGAGCCTCGAGGTCCTACAATCAATCCCATCACCGTACTCCGTACCCCAAGAACCATTGAAGAACCAATATTTCACCGCTTCCTATACCGCCTCAAGCGGCAGAACCTAGCGAACCTCGTTCCAAAAACTCCGGATTTAAGCGGATTTAAGAAATTACAGTCCCAGAAAACTCAGTTGCGAAACTGTTCTTTTTTTTTTCCCTTTGGCGGCAGAAAAACTGGTTCACTGACCGCCGCACCCGCTGGTTGCAGAACTGCATAGCGGTAGTGCCCTTTTCATCACGTACGTAGTTAGCTAGCAACTAATGAGATGGCTCGAATGTGTCTTTATTCGTCTTGGTGGGATTTATGGGCTTAAGTTATCCCAGACAGTTGCCATATTGCCGCAGAGTAGTTGACAAGCCCGAATAAATCTTAGTATATCCATCGCATGTGGAGGCTATACAGAACCGTCCAATATATCGCAGATTAGGCCAGACTTTGATATTTCTATACGCATATAGACACTTCAAGTAGGGAAAATGATTTGAACATTGAGGCTGAAACTACGGTATTTCTGCCCTGTTTTCGGAATCATATAGATCCTGTGATGATAAATGCTAAGTAGATAGTCGATAACCTTCTAATCTTAATCAAGGCGACTAACGCTTGGTGCGTCCAACATTTTCCGGACATACTATAATCTCGGAGTAGTTTAGTGCGTTTTATCGGACACTTGTGTGGGAACATGAGTCGTGGTAGATGATAACGCTGTTGGTAAGGCAAGAACCCTTGACGATATCAAGATAAGGCGCAGCCGGGTTATAGTGCTCTACGTCACGTTAATTTCAGGGTAATACATCCTTCTCTACAATCCCTACACCACGAAGCAGCACAATAGTTCGTCAAGAGACTCATCAACTAGGAGTCATATATTCTTTCATTTTTTTCTTGAATATGAGATCCTATTCCATCTTCCATTGCCGATGTCATAGCCGCCGCCGCAGCATTGCGGTCTGTGCAATGCATGAAACCCAGAGCCGAACAAGAAAACCGCAAATTTAGAAGACAAGAGCAGCACCCTTGGTCTTCTTGTCACCACTGTTGAGAAAAGAAAAAGATGTGGTTAGCATCACCCATCGATCGTATACTGAGCATATGAACGTACCCAAGCTCGAAGTGCTTGCAGCGCTTCAGAGAAAGCTGCTTCTTGGTCTTGCAAGCAGTGCACTCAAGACGGAGAACGATCTTCTTGGTGGTCTTGGCCTTCTTGTGGAAGACGGGCTTGGTCTGACCACCATAACCGCTCTGCTTCCGGTCGTAACGACGCTTACCCTGGGCGAACAGGGAGGCCTGTAGAGAATCAAGATTGCATCAGCATAGGTCGCGCGGTAGGCTCGGTTGCTTGGGCAGTGTTCACCTTTCCAGCCTTGTACTGGGTGACCTTGTGCTGGGTGTGCTTGTGGCACTCCTTGGACTTGCAGTACGTCCGGCGGGTTTTCGGAACGTTGACCTGAAAGCGAGAGAAGTTTGATCAGCCCCTGCTGTGGTAGGATGGTATTATAGAACATCCGCAGTCTGTTCCTGAGTTCCTCGTCGTCGGAGATGGTGTTTCACGGTGATGGTATTGGTTCGAAGAAGCGAGAAAAAAGCAGATGCTGATATAGCAAGGGTGTCGTCACTCAAGAGCAATTCGATTTTTCAATGGTTTCGGTCGCACTCAACATCTCACACTTCATCCCACAATTAATCGCGGAGCATTTCCCCGGTCGATAATTCCATCTCTTTTAACCATTTTGCATTTATATTGACAGCTCAGGATTTTTTGTTTTGCAGCTTCGATCGTTGCGCTTCGTATAGTGCCGCTTTTCGTCTCGGTTCGCCGTGGAAAAAGAGTGCCGTATGTCGTCCCATCTCGTAGTATGTCGATTGACCGAAAACACTTCTCCCGACGCCCAGGAACACGGAAATAAGACTGATGAACGATCAGAACAATATCCTTACCATTTTGACTGACTTGGCCGGATCGCGAACTTGGTGGTCGTTGATAGTCTCTTGTCGGGAGGATCGAGTTGGGCTGGCCGTGTGTTGTGGGATTTCGTTCGCTTAGGGTGCGGCCTAACCGCGTTTGTGTGCCACCCGCCAAGACCGCCCGTGGTTAGTGGTTGCCTCAGGCAAAGACCCATACCATCCCCATAGTTATCTATCGAATCGTATTCATTCGCTCACCCACTGTCTAGGTTATTCATACTGGGTTGTTGCTAATCAGAGACGCTTTACTGAAAGCCTTTGCCGACAACAACGGCTTCTCCTCCGCCGTAGAAAGACGTTCCTTTACAAAATTCCAACCCTTTCTCCTGTCCGACAAGCCATTCCCCTTTCCCAGAGATGGCTCCGTCTCCTTGAAACCAGTATTTCGTCCGGAGCATCTCATTAATCTTCTCCACCCTCTCTACCAGTGCGGCCACCCGCGCATGGTCCACCGCTTCGTCTTCCGCTTCATTGGGGTTGTCTATCACAAATCCGTCCCGGGTGATGAACCGCGCAATCGTAATATGTGCTGAGAGTGCAATATACCTCGGTTTCATCTGTAATCCCGTCGCTGTGACAATACTCGAAACATCACGTCGCAGATGGTGATAAGTGTATCCATCGCCGTCCACATTGTGGGCAGTTGTAGTCTCTTCTCCAGCAGCAGGGACAAAACTCAGCGCCATGGCAGTTGCATCGTAACTGATCATAGGCTTAACCAGCCGTGTTCGATGATGAAATAGAAAATCCACCAGCTTCGGCACGACGCCACTATCCTGGAGATGAGAAACCAATCCTTCAACCTCCGGCTCAGGTCGACAGCTGGCGATCTCTAATGTAGTCATATGCAATTGCTCTAGGGGTGTGAACCATATGCCTAGCAAAAAGGTGAAATGGAACCGATCAGTTGAACCAGGCGATACAGCACAGGGGATACAGAGAGTGCCCCGCAAAGGCAAGATAGAACTAACTTGGGGCAATTTCTCGAATGGCCTGTTGGACCTCAGCGACCAAGTCCCGGATATGCTGCGGGGGTCGAGCGTATAGTGTGAGGTTATGCCGAGGATCGACAAAAGGCAGTGTTTCGCCGTTGGCGCTTGCATGCAACTTTTTCAGGATATCGTCAACCTGCCAGCCCTTGAAATCGGGGCTGAGGAGCTTTTCTCTGTATTGCTTGTTGCGGTTGGACCGGTGAGCTTCATATCGAGCTTGGATTTGTTTCTGTGATCGGATTTATCAGGAATGTTGTTCTTAAAAGAGCTGTTGGGAGTTGTACTGGGTCATCTTGACATTCTGCAATGAGAACGTCAAATGGATTGGCTTCTTCGACAGTATTTCCCATGGTGCAGGACGTGACGCCTATTGACAGTGTGTTTTTGAGCAATTTCGTAGAATGGTGGTATTTGAGGGATGTTTGAGTAAGATTGAACAGATCGCCAAGGGCTGGTGCTATATATATCCCAGTCCCGTTAAGGGCACATTGAGACCATTACAAACAGTCAAAGCATATTCTGAACAATTAGCGCAGAGTACCTGCAACTAAACAAATAAAAGTAAATCACAATTACTCAATACAATCCAACAAAACCAGATCAACTACTATACCCTCTCATACAACGCAAACACCGACATTCATCCCAGCTGGGGCGAAGTAGTAGTTAGTTACTTTGAAGCGGCTTACTCCGTAGTTATTTTGATGCCCCACCAAAAACCCCGCCGAAGCTTTCCGTCACCAGACTGAGCCCAGTCAACAACCACCTCCACCACCACCACCATCGTCGTTCTCTTCGCTACTAATATATTAGAGCGTCTTGTTCCTTGAAATTACTCGTACTTATTATTCCTCTACTATAGCAACTTAAACTCTACGAATACCTTACAGTCGCTATCTATCTTACCTCAAAAATGTTGATCAAGTGAGTTTGTTGTCCTCCGCCCCCCATGACGCAGATAGCCTCCCCTCTGTCGCGATAGCAAATGCTAACCGGTTGTCAACCTCGACAGAGTCCGTACCCTTACCGGAAAGGAGATCGAGTTGGACATCGAGCCTGATTACAAGGTACCTACATACACGCACCCATTCACAGACATATTTATTTTTTTGCGATCTCGCCCATCCGCGCGTGGTGATTCTTTAGCTAGCCTAGCTGGGCCTAAACCCAGCCGGGCTGCAATAACCTCCGCTTACACACGACCAGTCACCCACCTACGCTACTGATACATTCTTCGCGCAATCGATAGCTAACAAGTACAATACGCAGGTTTCCCGGATAAAGGAGCGTGTCGAAGAGAAAGAGGGTATTCCTCCTGTTCAGCAGCGATTGATTTTCGGTGGAAAGCAGATGTACGCAACACCCGTTTTTCCCTGTCCCTACTGCTGGGGGGTGTATAATCGCTATGTCATGGGTCACCAGTGCTAATAGAGAGTCTTCTGTGACCGTAGGGCCGACGACAAGACTGCTTCGGAATATAACCTGGAAGGTGGTGCCACGCTACACCTTGTTCTTGCCCTGCGTGGTGGATGCTTGTGAATGTGTGTGGTGTGACAGAAGGGGATGGAGTAAAGAGGAAGATATCTGTATGATGCTTCAGGGCCGGTATTCTGAACGCTTTGTAGCGTTGGTTTCTTGTTTCGGGGCTATGAGCATACATGTAGGTTTCGATCCTGGGGCTGGGTGGGGGGTTTTAATGAGCCACAAACCAACAATGCAGTAATGACAGTATTTTACATACACTTTACGGAAGATGGAGATGGGTTAATGGAGTTGATTATCTGATATTCCCTGTGAAGATGGGGAGTGGGGATTGATATGTGTGATTGGTTTCTTATATAAGTTTAGACTGAGTGGGCAGCCTGTGTATGTGATAAGAGGAGGGTATAAACATGATTGATATAGATAAGAGGGATGATATGCTCGAGAACCAAAGGTTGCACTTCATCGAATTCGCCAAACATATTGCTGCGCAGCAGTCTACCGATATAAGTTGCGAGATTCCCGGTGGAAGATGCAAAATGTCTATTATAGCACCCGACCTGAGCCTGCGAGATCCAGGTATATGAGATCGAAAGAACGCCTTTTGTGGTATCATTTGCAAAACGCCATCAGCTGAAACGATGAACCAGACTCACGCCAGTACTAAACGCCATTCCTATATATTATGAGTGATTTGTGTATCTAATAATGCAGGTTGACTTCTTGGGACCAGCATATGTCCAATCAGTTCAGTTTCTTCTTCTTTGGTTGAATGAAGAGGTTCGGGGCAGGACGTTTGCGGACCACTGCCGGACGGGGTGGCTGTGGCGGAGACGCTGGCATGTCCTCTACGGCAGACTTCTGATGAGAGCCAGTCGCACTGCTACCGAGCGGTTGGGAGGTCTGTTTCTTGGCCGCAGCCCCTGATAGAGACCCGGACGGGCCTCTCGTTGGCTGTGATGTCTGTGCACTTCTTCCTGCCATAGGCCTATCGGATGTGGCAGGGCTATGCGATTGGGTTATTGCTCGTAAACGAGCCTCTCTTTCCCGCAAGCTGGGACCAACTTCCAGACTATTCTGGCTCACGGAGGGCGCACTCATCTGGGGACGTGATCGACCGGGCACCCTCAGAGCTGGGGCCTCCTTGCGTCGAGCGACAGGGGGCTCAGCAGGACGTATATGGTCTTCGATAAGAGAGCGCGGAGCCTGTCTGACCTGGGTAGCTCTGTTATTAAGGTGCTTTGTGGGCACAGCAAGAACGTTATTCCTCTTCGTCGCCGTGAAGATGCTATTCTTCTTCTTTGTCTCCCTCGGCCTACCAAAAGCCCAGGGGGGCATCGAGGATGACGACGTTGGTGAGCCGCCAAATCTCCGATCGTATGAAGCATATCGTTGCCTCGCGGTCGGCCTCTCTCGAGGAAGACCGATAATTCGTCGGTCGGTAACGAGTTTGGCACTCTTCTCCTGACGCTCCGAGCTGATGCCATCTAAAGCCATCTTCAGCTTTTCAGCATCCTCTTCCACTGCCCGTTGGACTTGTTCCCGGAGGTCACAATATACGTCATACCAACAATCGGGTTTCTCAGGCAGATCGTATTCGTCCCATCGCGGGATATCTCTTTTGATGAACTCTAGCCAGAGTTCCTCGTCATCTCGCATCAAATGTGGGGACTGTAGCTCCAGAGTTCTCTGTAATGTGGGGTGAGTTTGCCTGTTAGTCAAAGGGGGCACTGACGATGGACGGGGGATTTCCGCTACAGACTCACCAGTTTCTCAGGACTCTCCACTTTCACTAGAAATGGACGAGCAAGTACATAAGGAATGTTGCCGATGTCATTTAACTCTGTATAAGCGTCGATTGTTAGTACCCTATTGAGGTCTTCTAAAGGTGAGATTGGGCGATGCATACGTTTCACGTTCCTAATCGCAGTCGCCGTGCAGAGCTGCAAAAGTGATGGTGGCGGCATGGTGGTTTATCGGGATGGGCACCAAAAAATAACCAAAAAAGTGGCATGGAAGGAATATCGGATATAAGGAAGAAGTGAGAGGCATCTGAAGAAGGCATGTGAGATGGTCACCGACGATCAGGATGAGATGAACGTAAGGCCATTGAGCCTTTGTACGTGGTAAATGCGCCTGCGTCAGGCTCAGGGCGGACAGCTGTCTCGTCATGACCTCATTGGTTCATTGAGGCCAAGTCAGGCGGAAGCTCGGATTCTGCCGACTGTGAAAGTCTCACCGCCCAGGACGATGTTATTTGTTCTCATTGCGGACAATGGAGAGTGAGTTCTACAATAAAAGCTATCTTCAGATTATTAGGCCCACGTAATGTTGGTTGTGCTGGACGCTATAACTGCTACATCTGAATGTGGCTGTGGTTGACCCCTGTATCTGCAGTCGCCATGTGACATCCACAGTGCTTGGTTATCCTTTCTGGGAATGGCCCGTCATCATTTGCTCGCAATGATCTATAACTCAGGCCGAGTAGCCTTGTTATAGTGGCATTATCCGCCTGCAGAATAGGGCCCTTCCCGGATTACATCTCCGCAGCCTTGCCGTTTACCTAACTGAAAAGTGAGGCGGGCTTGGCCAGTAATGCGTCCCATCGGGCGTTGCGGAAAGTGCATAGCCTCGCTGCCAAGGCTCTGTATAGCTTTTTATGCCTCATACTATAATGATGACCGGAGACTGATCACTACTCTGATGGTATAAAGATTATCGTGGTGGGTGGAAGTTGCCCTTCGTAAACTCGTACACAGAGTTCATGATGAAAGTCATACGCGCGATGGATGACTGCGCCTTGGTGTCCTCGGTTCCTGGAAGCCTCGAACAGATGTTGTAGTAATAGCGTAATGTAAAGACCAGGGGTATATAAAGTCGTCCTCGTGCCATGAATCTACTTCCTGCCATATTATCAAGGATTAGCATACAACACTTCATCAGATTGTTCGAGCAAGAAAGATCGACAGTACCATTTAGAGCATATTTTTTTTACTGATCTATAATATCATCCGACCCTCCACAAACCGCAGCCATGTGGTAAGTCTCTAAGTCAATGCAAGTCGAAGCTTGTCTCTTATGAATGCATGCTATAGGTACGCGATATCTCGACCGAGCGAATATCTTGTGCTCACTGGAGCCGGGATTGACGACATCAAAGTATGCAAGAAGGCATTTGTGTGGCCACTTCAGCGGGTATGGTTCAATCAGAGAAGTGCCAAGAGTATAGCTGACATGTTCTTGAGTAGTGTTCGAGGATATCTGTAGCACCGTATGATTTCTCGCTTAGCCTACAGGCTATGACAATCGAGAAGCTGCAATTCTCTCTGCCAGCAGTGTTTACCATCGGCCCTGATAATGAGCCGGGCGCACTCAGGAAATATGCGCTGCTTCTTTCGGGCTGCACAGACGAGGCTGATCCTGCCCAAAAAAAGGACCTGAATAGCAAAGCAAAGCAGAACCATGTCCAGGATATCGTTCGAGGAATCATCGAAGGCGAGACACGAGTGATTGTTTCTAGCATGTCCATGGAGGAGATCTTCAAAGAGAGACAGATATTCAAGACGAAAGGTGAGTGGCGATGTGCTGACTAGCTGGGTCACTGTTTTTGCTGACATCCGAGGAAGTAATCGAGAACGTTCAAAATGAACTTCAGCAATTTGGTCTAAGAATGTAAGTTCAAGCCCGTTATGGAGGTATCATCAATTCTGACAAAGCATAGTTATAATGCCAATGTAAAGGAGCTTCAAGATACCCCTGGAAGCGAATATTTTGCTTTTCTGAGTCGCAAGGCTCACGAGGGAGCTCTCAACCAAGCTAAGATTGATGTTGCAGAGGCACGAATGAAAGGTGAAATTGGAGAGGCAGAGAAAAAGGGCAGAACCAAGCAGGAGATTTCCAAGATTGATGCCGACACTGCTGTTCTAGAAACAAAGCGCAAGGCAGAGAAGGCCAAGGCAGACTCAGAGCTTACGAACCGCAAAACTGAACTGGATGCTGATGTCCAACTCAACAAAATCGCAGCTCAGCGTCAGACGGAAATGAGAGACGCTGAGTTGCAGAAACAAGTGGAAAGCAAGCGCGCAGAGACGGAGTTGGAACGTCTCAGAGCCGAGCAGGTCACAAAAAGCAAGGTTGAGCGTGAGTCTTCCCAGGAAGAGGCAGACGCTGCCTTTTATACGGAACAGAAGGCGGCGGATGCAGAATTGTATAAGAGTAATATGGAAGCAGACGCAACCTGTAAGTTGGCGATGACCTTCAGTGACAGACAAATGCTGACTCCTCCATAGATTACCGCCAGAGCAAAGACGCAGATGCAGCTTTCTACACTCAAAAGCGAGAAGCTGAAGGAATCCTCGAGATGGCAAAGGCATATGGTGCGCTTGTTGATGTTCTCGGTGGCCCTCAGGCGTTCCTGCAGTACAGAATGTTGGAGTCTGGCACTTATGAAAGGTTGGCCGATGCAAATGGTCGTGCCATCAGTGGCCTCCAGCCGAAAATCACCACTTGGAATACAGGAGGTTAGTATTGCCGGCATGTCTTCTACTGGAAGATCTATCACGAATTCTGACAAAGGAATAGACCATGGAAACGGTTCGCCAGATGCGATGGCACCGATTCGAAATATTATGCAGGGCCTCCCTCCTATCTTGAGCACAATCCATGAACAGACCGGGATAGCGCCACCGTCATGGTTTGCTGAGATGCCAAAGTCCAACGATTTGAACGGCAAGCCCCTTCAGACAGAGTCTCATCCTTTGAATTAAGACTCTTCTGAACCCCTAGAAAGTTCCCTGCATCACGATGAATGAATGCTATTGATGGATGTTTCTATTTATTGACTCGCGTATTGTAGCGATTGCTGAGTGCTTCTTATTGCCACAGACACACCATCAAGACAAGGAAGACTGCATTATTGCCTTGAATAGTATGCCACCACTGGGCCAGATAACACGACGTGTTGGAGAAAGATTGCTAGATCATATGTTCGCTGAATAGTTAATGGAATACCCCTTGAGTTGCTAGTCCTGATCAGACGAGATATCCCTTGAATATGCATGATGACAGATTCCACGCTTCTTCGGTCCAAACCGGAGATAGATGAATAGCAAAGTAGCACGCTGTAACTATTTACTCGCTGGTCGGGTTGCTTTCCTTATTTACCCAATCCATCTTTCTTGTAAGTCACGTGCCGTCCCACCTTCTCCACTCGGACAAACACTGCAAACTGCTCCTCTATAGCATCATCGCGGAGGGGCAGACGAGCAAGAGCAGCATTGCGCAGTAAACTCCTCTAGCAAGTTCAGAACACCTTCACTCTCCTAAGCTATATTCTCCACACTTGATCTGGGAAACATTTGCTTACCCCCCCAAAACCTGCCTAGTCAAAAAGTTCTGTCCAGGTAAGTTCAACTACTACAAAGTACGATTGTTTGCCATTTTTGGCAACGTCTCGTTTGGCACCTGTCGGAGCTCCTAAAGCTTCCCGCCTCGAGTCATTAAGCTAGAGTCAGGCCACAATCTCATTATTTCTGTGTTCAGCACGGAGAAATGCTATTGTCCTAGGGCTTATTATCCGCAGAAGTGCAATAGACTCTAATTCCGGCTCAATAGTGTCGATCATCATGGCTCCTCGCTCTCAATTGGAGATCGCCACGGCATCTGTCGAGCGCCTGGTCAAAGAAGAGGCTTCGTACCACCGTGAGCTGCAGGAGCAGACGGAAAGAGTTAAGAAGCTGGAGTCCCAGGAGGGCGGCGATGACGAGAACAGAGAGTACACATTGAGGCAGGAGGTAAGTAACTAACTTAGTATGGTCGATATGCACAAAGGAGATCGCTGACAATTGTTTTGATAGCGTCTGGCTCTCGAAGAAACCAAAAAGGTCCTCCCGACACTGAAGCAGAAGATTGAGGATGCTATAGCCAAGCTCAATAGTTTGCTGGTGAGTGACAAATTTCCTACATGCTACTATGTACAATTTATCTTGTGCTGTCAGGAGGACCAAGATTCTAAATTTATTGCTAGGTTGAGGAAGGAAAGAAAGGCCCCGAAAGTAATGTCGAGCATATTAATGCTGCGAAGGAAGCCATCGCCAAAGCCCGAACAGCGGAGCGGGAGATCGCCTGAGATAGCTCATTTTTCCATCTACTGGCACATGTACTTAATCCACAGCACGAAAATTATTCAATAAATTGCCCCTGAGAAAAGCAAAGCCATTGTTGCATTGTGATAGTTAGCCTAATGCGAACGCCACCAACCGAACTCCTTGCTCAATGTGTGGTAGAGAAAATTCTCCGATAATCAAGTAGTGTCCATTTTGTCTGCACGGTCATCCTGGACTTCCTCCCCTTCTTCTAGCTCTTCGGGGACCTCACCCTCATCTTCCATTGAGGTGTCCTGATCGGGGGTAATCTTATTCTCGTCGTCCACCGTAGTCATTTGTCGCAAAGGTGACACCGCACCGGCAGTACCCGTCTTTTCCACTTGCAAGCCTGCTGGTGATCGCCCAAGATCATCATGGCCATGTTGAGAAGGAGTCAGACTGTCTGACTCGTGACGAGGGGTATTAGCTCCACTGGATTTCCCCTTGGAGGGAACATCCCCGTCATCTCCATCTTCTTCCTCCTGCATGCCTTCTCTGCGCTCGACCTCCTCCTTCTCGTCACGGATGAGCCGACGGAGTTGCATCCCTTCTTCAACAATGCGACCGAACTGTTCTCGCCGTTCAGACCAGGTGTGTGCGTAGTCTTTACTCTCTTTCTCCAGCTCCGTGATTTCCGCCTGTAGCTTTTGTAAATTGGCTTGTTGATCTTCACGCGGCTTCAAAAGTCGGTTGCTGGTAATCTTCTCTGCCAATTCATCGTAGCTTTTGCGCAATGCTAGTAGACGCTGGGCTTCCTCGAGCTGTACCCGCAGCTCTGCTGTATTGTCACGCACCGATTGCATTGTATCAAGGATTCGAAGCTTCTCGGTCGCATAGCGCTCGCGCTCCTTCTCATTACTTGTCAAGAGGAACTGGATGCGCGCGATGCTGCCTTCGAAGGCGGCAAAATCCAAAGCAACATCTTCACGGAAATGGCGCCATTCCTCGAGCCGTTTCTGTTTCTCCGCCTCTGCAGCTGCTGTCGCATCGTCGTCTGCACCATCTGGTGGAGGAGTGGGAGGGAGCGTTGCGTTGGACACTACGATGGAGTCATTGTTGAGGAGGCGTTTTGAAATCCGCTTGAAAGGCTTTTCTTCGACGTTCAAGAGGCGCGACTTGTGGAGACCATCTGGAAGGGCATTACATTAGCACGGTGTAAGGAACGGGGGCGTGTTTCTAGAACCACTCGACCTTCATCTGGTTGATCCAATAACCCGTAAGACGTCATTATGGTCGTAAAAATAAAATAGGGTATTTGTCAAGGGGAAATGCAAATCTGCGTCGGGGAGGAGTCGAAATGGATCGCGCGTCCTCCTCTTCTCGGTGGCCGCGTGAAGATGGTGCAAGCCTTCAAAGGGAAAAAGGCCGGATGGGCCGATGTGAGCGGTCGGGGGATCCGCGCTAGGCGGACGCCGACCTTCAGCTGCTCCTCCCGCCCGCAATTTAATGCGGGCAGCGTCCACTCTCCTATTTCCGATCTGATACTACTATTCATTGCGCTTCCTTCTCCTCATCTCACCTCTCCAATCTCACTTGTCAATCACTGCGGCAGGTGGTCAACAGACCCTGGGAGGGTCTCAGTCATCATCCCTACAGCTGCTTCCCACTTCGAAGCTGTTGGTCGCTCAACTTCCAATTGGCTCACGGTTCAGATCGGCTCTATCTATGTTTCCCTAATTGGCTATGGTTGTCAGACTTGGGATCGTCATAGGGAATTAGAAATCTTGCATTTACGCGCCAAACAATGCCGAATTTACCGCCCAAGGAATTCGTCGCTGTCTTCAGAATCACATGAGTCAGAACGCCTCACTGATGGAAATCATTGTCGACACCGACCTGCTTATGTTCCGCTCGCGACACCATTCTGCATCGTGATGGCGGAGATGTACTCGGGGCTCCACGTGGGCCAACGTTTTAGCTCGCTGGAGGAATTTAAAGGACTGGTTCGAAGTATTTCCGTGAGACAACACTGGGAGCTTCGAGTGACCAGAAGCAACAAGAAAAGCGTTGTCATCGGCTGTCGATCTTCGAACAATTGCTACTTTCGTGTTGTGTGCCGCGCGAACAAGAATGCAACTTACATCAGCAGCCTCCAGGACAGCCACAGTTGTCGTCGCAATGCCACTTCAACCTCGAAGACACCAGCTCGATCGGAGGCATCGCATGTGCGGTTCCTCCTGACTGAAATCCCCAAGCTATTCGACATGAAAAACAAAATCAGGGCGCAAGACGTTGTGGACGCTGTGAAGCGATACCATGGCTATGACATCTCAATGCGACAAGCGCAACGAGCTCTTATCCGCCTACAGCAACATGAAGCGCAAAACCAGAGCGAGGGCACCAACACCCACGACTCTAGTGGAGATGACCGACAGGACAGCCAACCGCCTCCTTTAGAGAGTCAGGCGGAGAGTTCGACTTTCGGCAGTCTCTCTAGTCAAAGATGGATTACAGACACTCTCCAAACCACCATCATGGAAAACATACCTCAAGATGAGGTTCACCGGGATCAAACTATTTCGGCATCACAACTTCACGGCCAACCTGTACATCCGCCGCCTCAGGTACACCACCAGGCGCAGCCCACACAACCAGCGCCGCCGGCTGAGGTCCTGTCACCAGAACAGACACCCCTAGGTCATAGCCTGCATCACCCTGCAAGTTCCCAGCAGTCTCCTTATTCAGTCCCTGCTCCTGAACCAGCTCCACCTTCGGACGCTGGGCGCCCAAAGAATCCGACTCAACCGCGACCAAATGATGGGCAGCTTACCAGCCCACCATTTGTTCTGACCAACTTCAAAATCGAGTTTACTTGCGCCACATGTGGTGCACCAAACCAAAGCTTCTTCCCTAACCACGGCAACGTCACTGGTGGGCATTATGCCCCCCAGCATACTGTTCCTAGTCAGGGCGCAACTTCAGCCAGTGCGGGTCCTTCGATACAATCGATCCAAAACAGTGATGGTAGTAGCCGCGCCGGAGGCGGTCCAGCGTTTGAAGGTACCTCTGTGGCAAGCACACGTGGCGTACAGCAGCCTTGGACAGCAAGAACCATGGAAGTTCCACTTACACATGCGCATCCATAACTCTGTGTAGAGTTGGGGCGATCAAAGCTCCCTTTCCATTTTGCCCCGATTAAAAAGAGCGTTAGATACGTCTCTCCGATCTGCGTTAACCTTACGGCTCGTGACGAATCGCGGCCACGTCTGCAACCTTGCGGTATGTTGCTGCACATCCGATTGGGTGACTGACATACACCCCTGCAAATCGCCGCTGCAACGCTGTCTCTCAAGGACATATGTACGATGTCGAGTGAGCTCAGACGCTATAGTGCGGAATAATATGCCTCGCAGGTTGATACTTGTCACTGCCGTCCCTTTGGAGACAATTCCTGTTCAATTGACGATCATGTACGAACTCAGGGTGTTCGTCATCGACAGTGTATGCGGTTTTCTTTACCAGGATGGACTTTATTGCAAACCCGAATACTACCTGCCGCCTGCATCTTCATCGTCCAAATGATTAGCTGGCCTAGTTACAAACACGGCAAATGGGTTCTCTACGTCGATGCTCAGGACCGGCTGAGTCTGGGCCTAAGACATCGGCCACAGCTTGCAGGGGTCGTTAAGAAATTTACGGTATTGAACCTTGGCGGTCTCTATCATTGTGAGTCATGTTCGAAATCAGGCCGATGAGACAGGATCAGGATCGGGATCGGCCTCTTTGGACCAGGTGCAGGAAAGAGTTATCTATGATGTTATCGCGGGTGCGGGCACTTGGGCCGACCAACATATTTTTTTCGGATGTCCGAGTAGCCGGTTTCCAACCTCCGACAGGGGAGATCCACTTTTGCTGCGACTTTTGCCAAGTGACTGGCCAACCCGACGCGGAAAGAGGCCGCTGCCACGGCTTGGTTAGTAAAAGAACCAATGAGAGCCGTTGGATCTTATCCCTGTGGAGTGGGCCATATGGCAAGAATGCTGGATCTCAGTCGACGGTGGTCGGCGGTGCCTCCGATGATCCCTTATGAAATTGACAGGTTAAAGACTCAGACGACGCTTGCGGCCAATTATTGATAAATCAACACTTTCTCGTCCCATATATTGTGCCGTGCTGTTCTTATCAATTGTTGCATATATCTCTGTTTTATGTTTATGGCCTGAAGCCGTACACACTCCCTGTCGACAACAATTCCGATCTGGTCAATATTGGTTCCCCGATTTCTTTACATTCTTCCATCTTTCTTATCTATAATGCCATGCTCGGAATTCCCGCCTTCATAAATCCTATATTGGCCTAGACAGAACAGAATGAATCGACAACAGGCTGCGGAAAGAGCCTTGCACGATCAGACTAACATTTTGCCTATCGGGCAATTGCTGGTTGTCTTCACGGGGCTCGCAGTTTCTCTGCTTATCACTTTCGTTGACCAAAATGGTATCAGCGTAACTCTTCCCACAATCGCCCGAGATCTCAACGCCCAGGATACTATCTCATGGGCAGGCACTTCATCCCTTATTGCGAATACCATGTTCACGGTGCTTTATGGCCGGCTGTCTGATATCTTCGGCCGAAAGATAGTCTACTTGTGTGCTTTGGCACTCCTTTGCATTGCCGATCTATTGTGCGGTCTATCTCAGAATGCTCCGATGTTCTATGTCTTTCGAGGATTGGCTGGTGTAGCTGGCGGCGGTGTCACCTCCCTAACAATGATCATTGTGTCTGATATCGTCACCCTCAGAGACCGGGGCAAATACCAAGGAATTCTGGGTGCGGCCCTGGGTATGGGCAACGTTATTGGGCCGTTCATCGCCGCAGCATTCGTCATGGATTCGACATGGCGAGGTTTCTTCTGGCTCATTTCTCCGCTCTCTGCATGCTCCATTGTTGTGGGCTATTTCCTTATTCCCAATAATGCGCGGAAGGACAGTCTCCGCAAAAATGCCCGCAAGATTGACTATTATGGTATCTTGTCTTCGTCCATTGGAATAATATTCTTGTTGATCCCTATCTCGGGAGGCGGCTCTTACTTCAACTGGGATTCGGCGATGGTGATTAGCATGCTCACCATTGCGGGCTGCGCTTTGATTGTGTTTCTCATGGTTGAATGGAAAGTCGCTATGTTGCCTATGCTTCCAAGTATGTCACCAGTTGAACCTCGATACTTAGGACCGGCTGCTAATCCTCGAACAGTGGTATTTTTCAAGAACAGAGTGGTCTGTACCTTGTTCTTGCAGAGTTTCCTTTTTGGAGCTGTGTACCAGTCGTCTCTCTACTACCTGCCGTTGTATTATCAGAACGCTCGGGACTGGTCCCCGATTGTTTCTGCTGCACTAACGGCTCCAATGGTCGCCTGTCAATCAGTAGCCTCTGTCTTGTCCGGCCAGTACATTTCCCGGCGCAAGCGTTACGGCGAGGTGATCTGGGCTGGATTTTTCTTCTGGACGCTGTAAGTGACCCTGCCGGTGTCTTGCCCGTCGTTAGATACTTGTAATCTGACATTATATTTAGTGGCACCGGCCTGATGCTGTTGTTTGACCGCCACACCAGCCCGGGAGCTATTGCTGTCATCGTTGGCATCGCTGGCATAGGCGTTGGGGGTGTCTTCCAACCGACCATGGTCGCTTTTCAGGCGCATTGTACGAAGGCCCAGCGAGCTGTCGTAATCTCGGACCGGAACTTCTTCCGCTGCCTAGGTGGTGCATGTGGTCTGGCTATCTCGGCTGCGATCTTGCAGGCAACGTTGCGATCCAATCTGCCTGTGGGATATAGAGATATTGCTGATTCATCCTATTCGCTACCGTCGAGGGCAGGTATTCCCGATGCAGATTGGGAGCAGATCCTTGACGCATATGCCAAGGCTTCTCACTCCGTGTTCATCTTCCAAGTCCCGTTGATGGGAATATGTCTCCTCGCATGTGTCTTTATTCGCGACCGCGGACTGGAGAGGCCCAAGGATCAGTTTGAAATAGAAGAAGAGAAGAGGCAAGAGGAAGAGAAGCGGCGGCAAGAGCAGGCCCAGGAACAGGCCGAGAAGCAGTTTGCAGCCGGGAATACTGAAGCCCAACCGGAGCAGGTTCCTGAATCCCAGGCCAGCGGTGAGATGGAGAGTGCGTCTCGCTCCGAGAAGAAAGTGGAACCAGAGCCGTAAGGTGGTTATGAGATGCAATGAATTTACTTATCATACAAGTCCGGCATAGATGGCGTTTCAGCGATACGAAAAATGTCCATTGCGGCGATACGCACCCATTGGTCTATGACATACTCTTCCTGAATATCTCTTTGATCATATTATGGAAATACACATGATAGTGCAAATACAGACAAGTAAAACATATAGAGGAACCCACGCGAAGTGCTTATCTTTCTTGTACTAAATTTAATTATGGCTCCAGGCGCTAACTGGCGGGTCGAGCCGAGATGTCTTGGCGGGGACGAGCAGCTTCCCAACTTCTTCCTCCATTTATTCCTGACTCATCTTCTGCTCTTCTACATTTCCGATTGTCGAGCGAGTTTAACTTCTCTTCTTCCGCTTCTTCTGTATCAGGGACAATATGAGATAAACTAGTATGGATATTGCGAGCACTTCGACCCCCACCGGAACCTCTTCTTCACCTTCGCGGGACTACAATCCCCGGAAGCGCGGCAGAACGGCATGCACGCGCTGTAAGACTAGAAAGCAGAAAGTCAGTAGACGGATCCACCTATCCTTCGAGATCAGTCCGGGTTGTAGTTGGCTCCAGCATGTTACTCCGGGGCATTAGTTAATGCTAATGGTCGAGTCTTAGTGTGACAATGACTACCCCGTGTGCTCTAACTGCCAAAAGGTCGGGGCGATATGTGACAAAGCCACCGTACGACAGGAGAATGACACTCAAAACGAGTGGGATACCCCTTTCCCACCCTGGCCTGAAACATAATCATTGTGGAGCACTGACAATTGTAGATATACCCGTGCGTTGCAGGATCGCATCGCCTACCTTGAGTCCCAGTTAGAGTCGAAACCCATGAGTAGCCGGGCCAGCAGCCATGTCGCCCATCCAGTTGCTGCACTCCTGTCTCCTCCACACCCGGAGACTCCCAGTAACCCCGCCCCTGGTCTGGATCAAAATGCCGTCGGAGAATTGGTGGGATTCCTTGCACTCAACTCCTCGGAGGCGCCTGCATACGTAGGTTCCAGTTCGGGCCTCTCCTTAGCTACGAATCTTGGGGAAATGGTCCAAGCCACAATATGGAACCAGGCCCTGTCTTCAGCTCGAGCAGCGTCATCAGGTAGATCCGGACCTGCAGCGGGACAAGGGTCTACGGGTCTCCCTCCTCAGCCTCCAGGCGAGAGGGCTGGTCATGTCAATGATCGAACGAGACCACCACGTGTGGAGGAGGTGTTGGTGAAAAGCAGCGAGCCTCCTAGCGATGAAATGGGATCCAGGATTCTTCATGCCTATCTCACCCGGATCCATGTTCGCTATCCGTTTCTCGACCGCACGGAGTTGTGGCGACTGCATGAGGCGCGCTGGCGGCTGGCGCAGAAGAAGCGAGAGGAGCTGACCAAGGAGGAACGGGTGGGCATATTCAAGCTGTACCTTGTATATGCCATCGGGGCTACATCGATTCAGTTAAGTGAAACTTACTCGTATACCACTCCTGAGGTATGTTGCTCTTGTGGTGCGGAGATTATCTGTTCTAACCACCTCGCCAGCGATTTTACATGACCGCTTTGCAACAACTACCGAATATGTGCGAAATGCGATCTATAGAAAATATTGAGGCCATGGCCCTGTTGATTGTGTATCACCTTCGCTCCGCGTCTGGTCAGGGAATGTGGTACATGGTAGGCCTGGCCATGCGGACCGCTATAGACCTTGGACTGCATCGCAAAGCAAACGAGATCAACATGGATCCCTTCACTGCGCAAATGCGGCGGCGTCTTTTCTGGACTGTATACTATCTCGAACGTGTCGTGTCGATGTCCCTGGGCCGACCTTTCAGCATCGCAGACAGACACATCGACCTTCCTTTGCCTGCAGACATTGACGACGATGTCCGCGATCCGGCCTTGCTAGCCGCCCCTCCAGTTCCGACTAGAATCACTACCCTGACATTTGCCATATTCCTCATGCGCCTGCGGCGCATTGACTCCGAAATTCAGCACAAGATCTACCGAGCTGACCGACCACTGCACACTTTACGCTCGAAGATGGACCGACTCTTTCTCCAGCTCGAAGAATGGAAAGAGTCAGCTCTGCGACGTTTCACCGGTTCCGACCTAGACTATCCAATGCTGCACTACCACCGAGCCCTACGACTTCTCATCCAGCCATTCCTACCCTCGCTCCCTCTTTCCGACCCATACTATCACATCTGTCTCCGCGCAGCCGGGAACACCTGCCAAACCCACAAAAAGCTACACCAAACCCTCGAATACGGGCACTCCTTCCTAGCCGTTCAGACCATCTTTATGGCTGGTATCACCCTGCTCTACGCCCTATGGACACACACAAGCGACGTCTGGTCCGTCCAGATGAGCAATGACATCCGCGCCTGCTCAACCGTCCTATTCGTCATGGGCGAGCGCGCCGAATGGGTCAAGAAATACCGCGACGCATTCGAGCTGCTCGTCAACGCCGCAATGGAGAAGCTAGAAGGAAGCGATGCATCCAAAAAGGTGGGTATGGCGGAACTGATGACAGCCCAACACAGTAGCAGCGGTGGCATCAATGCAGGAATGTTCAGGGATCATCACAACCTCACCACCACATGCAGCAATAGCAACAACCCCACCAGCGGCATGGCACCAGATATGAACAACGCAACGGCAGCCGCCAACACCGCCGCCCAGGCTTCTTCTGAACCCACTAGCAGCCAGGACCATGGCGTGCGCATGGCATTGCAAATCGCGCCCTGGATCGATCTGGAAGAAGACAGTCCATTCTGGATGCCTGATTTCGAGACGCTGGAGAGTTTGTCGGGGAATTTATGGGATAGTGGCGATTTGGCCCCGTTTGGGCCTCTCTAGGTGCAGATCTCGGGACATCAGCCAACGAATCGATACTTACGGAAGTGTCTGTCCATGCAGCAAATCATGAGTCTGTGGCAACCCATATCTGTCTGCATGCAAGGCGCGATCCCTGCATGAATCGGCGATCACTGTAATCCGGTTGCTGAATTACCCATACGCTTGAACGCACAAGAAACGCTCTCCTATCTCTTATCGACTGCATCTCTAGGCAACCATCATCAATCGGTGACACAGCAGCTGTTTGCCATCTCAGGTCTGACAGAGTTGTGGGATCTCTGGTTCGGATGTAAACGGATCACCGCGACGCAAGGAGAATGGATTTCCCCTTCACTATTCCAGGCAGAACGAGTGTAGGGGGTGAAGATGATGGTTATACTCAAGTAGAGAACTATTATTCCCCATCAAGGGCGTCGGGCGTCAAGGATGCCATTTTCGATTACTCTCTATAGAGAACGTCTAAGATAGCTATCTAAACCACTGAATAAATGTACAATGTCACGTCCCGTGAAGCGAAGAGAAAGATAGAGAGAGAGGAAGAGTGAAAGCGAGCAAGAATTAAGCAATCGATATCTATCATAACTCATCCTTCACCGGCGGAGCAGGCATAGGCCTCCCACTATCACGACCCAAATCGACTCCATTCTTCTTACGCCACTTCTCCCACAGGGCAAAGAAGTCCTTCTCCATGCCGCTCTCCATCTCATCCGGCAAGATAACCGCATACTCGACATACAAGTTCCCAGGCTCTTCATCCTCATCATCATTATCATGAAGGTGACCATCCGAGTAATGCGGCATACCCTCACCCTTAATCGTCTCCACCGACAACGGTTGCACGACCTCCCCGCGCTTCCTCCCCAAGTGAACCACATGTCCATCCAAATGCGTGATATTGCGCGTCCACTCGCCCATCCATGCCTCGCGTAGCGACAGCGCCTCCTTCCAAAACAGATCCTTGCCCTTGCGACGGAAAAACGTCCCATCCGTACGATGTTCCTCGGCATCGCTTAGCTCCGGCTCCTTCTCCTCCAGAATCAGCACCAAGTCGCCCGCAATCCAGTCGGGACTCTCGTCCGCCTCGTTCTCGTATACCAATCGCATCCCCTTATCCATTCCAGGTTCCACAGTCGCATGCGTCTCGACCTCGCGGCGAACAACCCGGTGGCCATGACACACGGGGCACGGCTTCTTGATCATCTTGCCCTGTCCGCCACACTTATCGCAATGCATCTGCACTTGTTGGAACATGCCCGGCGCTAGCTGGTGCTTCTGGATGATCATTCCCCGTCCAGAGCACTTATCGCAGGTGACGACCTCCCGGTCCGCGGACCCGGTACCCTCACATGCATCACAGATCTGCTGCTTCTCAACGCCGAACGAGAAGTCCCGTCCGTTGTAGAAGTCCCTGAGCGGTAACCCGACCCGGAGCTCCATGTCCGGTCCCCGGCGATGTCCCGGCGCATGTCCGAAATGACCTCCGCCGCCGAAGAATCTCGAGAATAGATCGAATGGATCGTGCGATTGTCGGCCGCCTTGACGGTGCTGTTCGAGGCCTTCGTGGCCGTATTGATCGTAGATCTTGCGGGTGGAGGATGTGGAGAGCACGTCGTAGGCTTCGGCGATTTCGACGAATTTCTTTTGCGCGGTTTCGTCGCCTCTGTATCGCATCAGATAAATTTAGCAATAGCGCCGAACAGAAGGAAGGAAGAAAGTTGGGAGAAGGGAGAGGGTAAAACGAACGGGTTCTTATCCGGATGGAACTTCTTGCTCAGATGTCTGTAGGCGCGCTTGATGTCCTTCTCCGAGGCGGACTTATCCAGTCCTAGGATCTTATAGTAGTCTTCTGCGGCGAGGACTAATTGGATGAGACAGATAGTGAGGACCACGAAGAGGGCCACGGTTCGCATGGTGGGGAACATGGTTGCGTCGGTTTGGTTTATTTATTATATTTGGTGATATGGGTTGGTGTGAGCTGCGAAGCGTCGCAGCTCAAGTGGCTGTCTTGTTGTTTGTCGCGAGGGATGTGGTGTCGGCGTGGTTATACTTTAGAGTGTTTGTTATGTTGGAAGTAGTATAGAAGGATGTCGATCGGCCAGGAAGGACGGCTGTATGTATGTAGGTAGATTTTGAGGGAAAGAGGGACGAGGAAGGTAGAGGGGAGAGGGTCGGATAAAGGTAAAAGGATTGAGGAATGATTGGTCCCTTGCGGGAGCTGCTCAAGATCAGTCAAGACCTCAAGAAGCAGACGTTGTGTTTGGCCAGGTTGTCTGTTATCGCGGACTCGAAGATGGAGGATGTCGGCCAACCACATAAACCGGTTAGGTGGCCGCAACGCCGGCCGGCTTTACTGTTCGTCCGCGACACCGGGTCACGTGGGATCGCACTTTACGGGGAGGACCAGATAAGAATTCATAAATTGTATACAATAGTCGCTATCAACGCTCATTGCTAGCTAAAGTAGAGAAATAAACTTTACGGGGAGGACCAGATAAGAATTCATAAATTGTATACAATAGTCGCTATCAACGCTCATTGCTAGCTAAAGTAGAGAAATAAACTATGGCAAATTCCCCGCATCCTGACTACGAACCCACCGGCGTCGATCATTCAAGCAACTACGGAATATGCACTTTTATAGCGCGGGGACCTTGACAGTTGATCCAGACCAAAGCGAACAATCGTGACTCGTGATGAAAATGAGAGGACGTCATAGGCTTAACCTCTCGGCACATCGAATACTTCGTTACGCCAGGTTCGTCCCAGCCCCTGACTCTCATCGCCCTCTTCAATGGCCTCAGGGGCACAAGAGGCCTCGTCATGCCAGACTTTAACCAAGCTGCCCGGGGCGTATACACCCTTGAAGACACCGCTACCAGGTGGCTCAAGACCAATACGAGTCTCAACGTCGGTGTCGGGAAGCGATTGCAGCCGTGCCAGCACTGCCCGCACGAAACTTGCCAGGTCCCGAGGGTTGGCAATGCGTGCTGCTCGCAGACGTTCTCGAGCAAAGACCAGCTCTCTGTTGAGCGTGAAAGCGGCCTGAACAATGTTCTCCGCGATCTTCTTTTCCAAGACTCGGCGGACTAGGTGCTTGAGGAAAGGCTTCGTCAACCAGATGAGCCACTTCCACTTGCTGCGGTGGACTTTATAGTCCAGCTTGTGGATCCGCACACGGACACCGCGCAGAGTGAAGATGTGTTCCAGCCGCTCTCTTCCAACCTCTATGTCCAGGGAGATGTCAATACCGCGCTTATCCAGGTAGAAACTGGCAATTCCCTCATCTTTGAGGCCAAATAGAAGTGCTGAATGGGTCCGCATCCAATATCCGAATTCTTGAGCGCTAATATTTAGTCCACATACTGTCGCCGTAAATGTGGTTTTGAGATCAGTGGCGGTTTTCTTGGAATGCTTCTTCACGATGTCGATGTCATTGCGCGTTGTAACATGCATCCGGTATGGCAAAAATGAGGAATAATTGACGGTTTTACCAGGTTCTAGGATGAGGCACTCCAGTAATAGATCGACCTCTGGTGCAGATATCTCCAGCCGCGGGATTGGTATGTATTGAATAGTGCGGAGAATTAGGGGAAAGAAGACTTCGATCAGGTCGGTGGGTAATTGGCCTTCTCGGCTATTGTAGCCGTCCCAAGCATCCTTGTATAGCTTGTTGGTCGCATCGAAGAGTTTAGACACGGCTTTGTCTTGCGGAACCGTCCGCAGAGCCCGTCTTGCTTGTGCCAGGAATGCATCCACATCCTGACGGATACTGGATCCTGTCTCGATTTGCTTTGACTTTTCCTTGAGCTCATCGATCTTCTCTTCGGCCGAATCGAAGAATTTTGGATCAGTCAACATCTCTTCGACCAGGGAACCTGTCTCAGAGACGAATTTTTCAAACTCTGGATCTTTGTTCGAGTGCTGCATTACAGCTTTGAAACGCTCCTCCAGGGTTTTCCATTCCTGAGCATCGCCAAACGACTGAACCAATAACCAGAAGTGTTCCATTGCTTCCTTGAGGTCCTTATTGACATCGACTTCCTCTTCTGCTGTTGTGACGACATCCGAAGCCGCACTTGCATACGCTTTTGCATATCGCCCCAGCAGTTGGCCTAATGTGGCAACCGAATCTGTATAGTCAGAACGGTCCCGAAGGTTCATCACGGTCTTCTTTAACCGATAGAGCAAGGCGTCTTTTTCCTGTCCGGCTAGGTGTTCTTTGGCACTGTGAACTGCATCTTTTCCGGTGCGAGCAACACCATTGCCTGCGACTTTCGCTACAGTAGCTGCCTCTTCACGTAATTCTTCGTTTCCTGCAGAACGGCCCTCGTCGGCGCCTGCCCCTTGAATAGCATCTACATCTTCTTGAGAAGGTTTAAGCTCCTTTCCAATCTGCTGCGATGTGTTGGACAACGAGAATGCCGTATCGGAAAAGATCTGGCGGCCGACGGTCGACAAATCATCAACGAAGAGCCGGAAGTCCGCGTTGGTCAGGAGTAGGCTTCCCACAGTGCGCAGGCTATCATATGCTGGATCACAATTGTTAGCTCATTACTCTATGCCCTGTGGTACCCACAGCCTGGTGCATGAACAGAAAAGAACGGAAGTCGGTACCCGCTTTCGTATCCGCCCTTGCCTTGGTTTGATTGGCTCGCTGCTGTATCTTGTTGGGGTCGATGGACGCCCTGGAGCGTGAGAGGTGCCACAAGAACTCCTGGAGCTTATCATCACCATTCTTCTCTTGCAAGAGCTCGATGAACACTTGGATCCAGAGGCGGCAGTCGCGGACAATCTGACGGCCGACGGTGCCAACATCGTGGGTATGGGGGGAAAGGACATCGGAAGCCAACAAGGTGCGCAAATTGATGATGGCTTGTTCAGTAGACGGCATGTACCCATCCGAAAGGGCACGGATCATCTGGTATGTGTGTAATTTTTGATGCAGGCGACGCTGGAGGGTCGTGTCCTCCCGGTAGCGAGGGAGGAGGGGCTCTGTCTCTCCTTGCGGCATGATGAAGGATGCCTGGCGTACCAGGATGACTTGACAAAACACAAAGCTAGGTACTACCTGATGAGAATTGATGAAGATGAAGATGGTAAATGCACACAACGAACAGAGGGAAGATGGGGAGTATCTGCAAACCTAGCCGAGCAAACAATGGTGAAATGGAAGCAGGAAAAGAGGGGAAACCGGCAGCTGGTTAGCTGATTGCAAAGCTTCCCGGTTGTTGTTGCATGTCTTGATCACGGGCCTGCGCCTAATCACCATTGCGTCACCGCTACTGGCCGGGTTCGGCCGCAGTCAGGTGACACGCCGGCATTGTCCTATCATCGCGATATCCTTATTATCTCCCAATCATTGCTTCTTCCAGTCTAGATGTAATCAGGTAATAGCTGGATCATCCCAGACGGAGCATCATATATGCCATTGTGCCCTGTACAACTGCAACGGTCCGGATGGCTGACTGCGAGATTCGATGACGGCTCACTGATAGATACACCATCGCATGATATCCTTATCTCAAGACTTGACATTCTCTTGTAAACCACGCAAGGCCTGTGTAATCTCAAAGTTGTAGCAGATGGTGTAATGCAATGAAACGCTGGCACCGCAGTCCTTCAACGATGTAAGGGCGAACGAGATCTCTGTTGCCTGAATAGCCTGTACAAGGACCGATAACATGGAGGTATGACTGTTACATACACCTGCAAGGTTAGCAACGATGGCCGCGGAGTATCGCATGCTTTCCGGAGTCTTGTCCGATGAGTCCAGTATGGCCACAGTGCCACCACGCCGATTTTATGTCAAACAGGTTGGCCGCTGTGGGATACGATGAATCCAAAACTAGGAAAGCATCGTAACACATATTGACGACTAAGCCAACAGTAAATAGCTCTCAGATTCCAGTGTGTATGACCTGTATCACACACTTCATGGGCTAGAGTCACCCAGCTTCAATCTTTCTCTCATCAGGCGTTCAATGCGGGAGGTGCTTGGAAGCATCTGAGGTATAACCCGCGGCTAAACAGCTGAATCCAAGGGAATGGAAGGATCAGCACCAGTCAAGCTTTGTGATCCATGCAGCTCGGGTCCGGGGCTGGTCGAGGAACTGCTGAAGTGGGTAACCCGGTCAAAACCTGCATGGTTGCGTGGATGGATGCGCGGGATGAGGTACAAACTTCAGCCACCGTGTCAAAGGTGAGGGATAAATTGGACATGAAAATCGCTCGAACGGGCATCAGGGTCCAATGGCTTGAGAAATCGCTCAGGACAACCCACGCTATCTTAATTAGATGAGTTGGAGATCAACAAGAATTATTTAGTAGTAGCTCACACGCGACTACAATAGTAGTAAAGTAGTATATCGGCAAGAGCACCAATGGGAGTGGAGTCTGTAACCGAATTCTATACTTTTGACTAGGGAGGATATACTTAGCACTAACAAGTGCACAACAATCATAATTCCCTAGTAATTGATCACTAGCTCAGAACTAGACACGTTTAGCTCCCACGATAATTTCTCTCACTTGACAATTATTAATGAGATGAGCCTCGACCTCGTAAGCTGGTCGTGTGCAGGAGACGAAATTTTGCGTGCTTCCGACGGAAACAGCACGGTTCACACTTACACTACTAATTATACTACTCTCCACTACGAGAGAGCAAGTCGAGCAGGAGAGGACCAATCATGAGGGAAGGGTTACTGCTTCAGATATTATTCACTGGAAGCTACGGAAGATTTTCGCAGTTTCGCAGGAGGTGACTCCATCGGATGCTCCATCGGTCGGGACCGATCGGCGAGGCGCAAGGCCGTTTGAAGTTTCAGACTTTTTATTATTGGGCAGCCAGGACCGCGGAATTTGGAGTCAAAATTGGAGACCCGACAATAAAAGATTTTTTTTTTGCCTGACCTTTATTCGCGCATTTCTGATCGGCGCAGTCAGGTAATGCGCAATGTGTTTCGAAGGGTAGTCTGGGATGGGGGCGACGAGCTTCCTTTTTGCATTGCGTCTGCACCACGGAGTATTCCGGGTACGATTCACCCTTGCTAGGAATACTCCGTGGTGGATTGGATCAACACACACACACACACCGGGCAATACGAGTCAATGTCGGGTGACAAGCCAACAAGTTTGAGGGATTTTATGAGCTTTGGGAAAAATTGAAGATATTCGTATATGTGTGTATATCTGGCAATCGGCCGACAAGACACGAAACACAGGTGCGGTACTACTACAGACACACACTGTGTGCGTATGCGTGTGTATGTGTGTGTGTTCTGGTGCTGACTTTTTGCAGCCGCTGACAAGACCCGAACTCGGCCATTGTCCGGGCCGCGTTGCTGCGGGGAATGTTAGCGGGACTATCTTAGACTAATGGCTGGCACAGCATGAATAACATCCGGTCCAGAATCCTTCCTGGTTCAGTTAGATCGTCTGGAGACTTGGGGCCTGGCAGTTAGCTTAGGCAACTAAGCTGGCTTAGTGGGTGTAGTTTAGCCTGTTTCTCTGCCACATGAGACCCGATCCACCTCAACCACCATGGCTGGACCCTTTGCTCTTGTTGGCTTAGCGTCTGCTGCGTGATTCCGATGTCTACGACTCTACGCTGAATTCTGACTAAATCGGGTCCACCATCCGACGAGCAGAAAGAATGGGAATCGGGTTTGCCATCTCGGAAATCGGGGCCCGTAAGACAGTATACAGTATAGGGTATAGACCTCCGTCGTAGGGCGGACGGCGATAAGAAATGTTTGTCCTGGACTTAAGAGACTAGTCCACCGTAAGCAGGATATAATTGTTGATAGATATCACATTCTTTTGGAATTGATTAACCCCTACCCCCCCATGCTAGTTTCTACACTGGTAGATCTCATACTTTCGGGCGCTCGGAGTATAATTGTACACAGTAAGCCAGTAGTTGCAGAGGGATTACCCGAAGTGCATCTGGATGAGCCAGAAGACTGACAAGTACCCCGTACAATCCAGACTGATGATGCTGGTGACTCGATCAGCTCTCTCAACTCACACCTCTAATTCGTACTTTATGCATCCCCAACAATACGCATGGATTATCAGGAATCCTGTTTGGTTGTGGTATAATTTTGGTATAGATCTGTAATTATTATCCAACAAACAATTCATAGAGCAAGAGGGATCCATATCTAGAACCATCTATTACCGAAACAAGGGGGAACTTCCGTTGTAAGGATGTCAGCTGCCACCGAATCCCAACGGGAAAGAGAATTTAGAAATAAAAGAGAGAAAAAAGAAAAAGAAAAAAGAAGAAGGTCCCTCTTCTCCCCCACTCGGACTTTGGAAAGAGAAAGAAAGTGTGTATTCCGTAGGAAGTGAATGAGTAAGTGAGTGAGTGATTGTGTGTAAAAGAAAACCAAACAATTAGGAATAGAAACAAAAATACCGACAACAGCAAGAGGAGTACAGCAACAATACCCAAAACACATGGAATCAACACAATAAACACCTTAAATCGAATAGGTCGTGTGTGTGTTGTGTGTTGTGTTTTCGCTGTACTCGGTACTACAACGTAGCCGTCGTCCTGGAACGAGAAATACCTCAGCTTTTCTCCTCATTATCTTCTTTCTCTTTCCCACTCCCCAAACACCGAAAATCAACATTTGGAAGGTCCAAGCCCCTCACGGGATTTGTCAATCTATTGCGCCTTCATTAAAAATTTCTTCTTTCACATCAAAAAAACCATGAATTGGAGCTGAATCAAAAGGACCAAAAACAAATCTGTGCGTCTCAAATGTTTTTTTTTTTTTTCAATTTTTCTCCGCATTTGTCGGATTCGGAGCGAGCTCCCGTTTAGTTTACTCCACACCCGTCCCAATCTGACCCAATCTGACCCGTTCAATTTCCACCTTTCTCCCCCCAAGCTTCGCCTTTTTCTCATAATTCCCACCACAGAGCGTCTGTGACCAGCGACCCAGTCGAAACGGTTCGCTGCCATGCAACCATTGTACCCCGATACCCACCGTACCGGTCCCGGTCATCCTGAGTGGTCCCTTGCATCCCGATTCTTCCCGATTGCTGTCATCCCTAATCAATCCACGGCCCTGGTTCATAGTCTTGACGACGACCTCGTTAGAAGATCACGACCGGTGTTGAGACACTTGCTTGGTTGAACTTCGGCATGCGGTGGGTTCTTACTCAGGGGGGTTCAATGCGACTAGCCCAGGGAATACATAAAATCAGACTGCCACCAGTCGTCTCCTCGCCTCAATTGATCCTCTCCTCCACTGCCATCAGCTCTGCTGCCTCCTTCAATCTCCCCTCTTCTTCTGATATCGTTGGTGTTCGTTCCAAGAGTATCCTGGCCGTGACTCAGCCTTCCACCATGGCTCGATTTCCCGCTCAGCAAAGCCGTCCCGTCCACGCGACCTCCCTGGTGAACCATGCGGCACCTGTGTAAGTGCCGTCTTTTGCCTCCCCCGTCTTCGACGGCATTATCTACCCTCGACTCAGTCGCACATTATCAACATTTTCATTTCTGCCGTCCTGGTCACTGACAATGCCTTCCTCTACGTCCAGTGATGCCAACTATGACACTGCCAACCCTGCCTACATTCGCAAGTATCTCCGCACCTACGGCTTGACGCCCCCGCGTGCGGAGTCATACGAGACCCAGAAGACTCGCTGTGCGTATATTCCGTAGATGAGGAATGCTGGTCGGATGGGGTTGGAAGCTAATGGAGTTGCAGGCCTCGCTCAATTGGCTCTCAAGCAGACCCCCATCGACAAGTTCCTCTACCTCAGCACTCTCCGTAAGAACAATGTTCACCTGTTCTACCGTCTGGTCACGGACCACTTGAGGGTAAGCCTGCAGCTGCAGAACCACTTTATTGTAAGCCAATGAGCTAACACCACACTAAGGAATTGACTCCCCTCATCTACACTCCCGTCGTTGGAGAAGCCTGCCAGAGATGGTCTGAGATCTACCAGCAGCCCGAAGGTGTGTGGCGAATCCCTGTCTAGCGTGCTTATCACGGGCTGAATCGGCCGCTAACCATGCACGTCTAGGTATGTACCTGAGCTGGGAGGATCGCGGCAACCTGGCCGCTGTCATTGCCAACTGGCCCCAGCCCAACGTGGAAATCACATGTATCACCGATGGTTCCCGGATTCTCGGTCTGGGTGACCTTGGCATCAACGGCATGGGTATTCCCATTGGTAAGCTGGCTCTGTACACTGCCTGCGCGGGTATTCGCCCCGAGGCCACCCTGCCCTTGACTCTCGATCTGGGCACCAGCAACAAGGCTTTCCGGGAAGACCCGTTGTACATGGGCAGCCGCCGCGACAAGGTGACTCCCGAGGAGGAGCGTGAATTCTTGGATGAGCTGATGGCTGCTCTGACCGAGCGCTGGCCTGGGTAAGTGGCTCATGCATGATCGACCCGACTGGATTGTTGCTTACGCGTTACAGTATTGTGATCCAATTCGAGGACTTCAAGAACCCCTTCCCTGCTCTGGAGCGTTACCGTGACAACTACACCTGCTTCAACGATGACATCCAGGGTACTGGTGCTGTCATCCTCGGTGGTGTCATCAACGCTGTCAAGCGCTCTGGCCTTCCTTGCAAGGACCATCGCGCCGTCTTCTTTGGTGCTGGTAGCGCCGGTGTCGGTGTTGCTAAGCAGATTGTTGACTTCTTCGTCCGCGAGGGCATGACCGAGGATGAGGCCCGCGCGTGCTTCTACCTGGTCGACACCAAGGGTCTTGTCACTGCTGATCGTGGTGACAAGCTCGCTGATCACAAGGTCTACTTTGCCCGTACGGACAACAACGGCCTGCAGCTGAAGACCCTGGAAGATGTTGTTGACCATGTGAAGCCCACCATCCTGATGGGTCTTTCTACCATCGGTGGTGTCTTCACCCCCGAGCTCCTGCGCAAGATGGCTGAGTGGAACACTGCCCCCATTGTCTTCCCTCTGTCCAACCCCTCTCACAAGTCCGAATGTGACTACGAGAGCGCCGTTACCAACACTGATGGCCGCGTGCTGTTTGCCTCTGGTTCTCCCTTCCCCCCCATGTCCTACACCAACACTGCTGGCGAGACCCGCACCTACTACCCCGGCCAGGGCAACAACATGTATGTCTTCCCTGGTATTGGTCTGGGTACCATCCTCTCCAAGTCGGTCAAGGTCACCGACAGCATGATCTACGCCTCGGGTGAGGCCCTCTCCAAGGCTCTCCTTCCCGAGGAGATTGAGCGTGGCCTTCTCTACCCCGACTTGACCCGCATCCGTGAGGTCTCTGTCGTTGTGGCCCGCAACGTCATCCGGGCGGCACAGGAGGCCAAGGTCGACCGCGAAACCGCCCTGCGCAGCATGAGCGACGAGAACCTGGATGCCTGGATCAAGGCCCGCATGTACAACCCTCACACCGAGGTCTTGGCCTTGGAGCGGGAGGTTGGCTCTATCCTGGCTAGCCTGGGACCCAGCGCCTTCTCCCTGGAGGCTCTGACTGAGGAGGCCGAGAAGAACTCTAAGCTGTGAGCTTAGTATCTTTGCTTAGCTTTCCGGCATCTCATTCTTAAAATACTGGCTTTGTTCTGTTTTCGAGCGCTTTTTGTTTCCCGGATCCTGTTTGGAAGGATGCGCTTCTGTATACCCCCATTCTTTCACGGATTCTGACCCCTCTTAATGACGATTCTGTTGTCGGATACCACCGATGTCGGACTAGTTTTGGTTAGCATAGATGCTGGTCCTGTGATGGATAAAACGGATGATTCAATGATCAGATCTTTTTTTCGGGCTATAGTTTTGCCTTTTCGTGGAATCCCGCTAGACGGAACTCGTAGCTTCCTTCATCTTCCGACATCCCCCTTGTAGTTATTACAGTGGATATCTGTCTACCCCATGATTCCGAATCGACCCGTTAGCATTCTTTTGGGCGAGGTTTTTGTTTCCGAATCGGGCATGGATACCCCTGCACCTGCAGTCAACGTCATGTGATGAGGGGATTCATCTCCATGCGGGGAAGGACAACGACATCTTGCCAGTGAGTCACCACCTCGCTGCTTCACATGTTAGTTGTCCTGCTGTTGCTGATCACTACAATTTAATCTATTCTATTCAAACAGAGTCTAGCCACATCCAGACGAGTGATGGTCAGGCTGTCCTTGGCCAGACCGTGATATATGACCAGGATGCATCAACCTAGGCAACCTGGGTCACTGGCATGTGAAGTGGGGATAAGATGACAGTCTCACCCCAGACGCAGGGTCTTCTCCATCACGGACCGTACAGATAAGCTTCTGCAAGCTAAGCAATAGAGCTGCAGCTCGTGCAGGCCCTGTCAGATCGGCGATGGATTCCGCCGTCATCTCCCCGTCCGATCGGTTCCACTGGGCTGAAGTCGGTAATTGGCCGGGGGTGAAGCTATAGCTCGATTTGACTCGAAAAGGCCCTGTCACAGCTGTCAAATGGTGGTTCCACGGACGGATTACCCTGCATTGTCCGAGTGGTCGGGAGGTTGCATCCCGATGTCCGGCTATCTTGACCGTGGATATCCGGTCGTCCGAGGTTTCACGCGGGGGACCATTTTCCTCCGATTTTTACCCCAACTGCGGATTTCGTCCCTCATTAAGCTTGACTGACTGACGCTTTCTGATTAGCTCAGAATTGGAGTCAGAATGAGGGGATAGTGCCGTTTCATCTTGACTTATGATCTCTTCTATAAGCACGGACCGACTCGGCAATAATGGGAGTCGGCTCGTCTATCTTGGTGGTAATTAGGACCCATACCAGCTCCAACTCACTGATCATTCTTACTTACTCTAATTTGATACAAGTAGATGATGCTCTTCACATGCTTATTGTTGTGCTAGCTGCCGGAACCGATAAGCATCTGCAGAAATCTTGGCTCGATGCTAACGGCTATCCCCACATTGCGCCATGAACACCTCCACGTGGATTCTGGCCTCGGCTGCTTTTTCGGGCCGCCGGTGACTTATCACGGGCAACCCCCAGTTTTTCAGGGTCGCATTCAGCTTTTCCTTTTCTGTCACCGGCACACACACTATGGCGTCCTTGCATGATCCCGTTAAGCTTCCCTGCGGGCTGGTCTTTCCGAACCGCCTAGCCAAGGTGGGTGGCTCGATTTCCCGGAAGCTTAATCATGATTTGTCTGACTCGCCCAGGCTGCGATGGCCGAGGCACTGGCCGGCTCAGGCAATGAGCCAACTCCAACGTTGCTGAAGGCATACGACCAATGGGGACAAGGAGGCTGGGGGGCTCTCCTTACAGGTAGCGACCCACTGTCGACACACATAGTGCGCTTCTAACTGCAATATGATCATTAGGAAATGTCCAGGTGGATGTGGACCATCTCGGAAACCCTTGGGATCCTGCCTTGCATGCTGAGTACACAGGAAAAGAAGGCAACGAGGCTCTAGTTGCACGCTGGAGCCAGTACGCCAAGACGTGCCAGCAGCGTGGCACTCCGTGTATCGTACAGGCCTGCCATCCTGGCCGACAAACGCCCCGGGGTGCAGGCCGCAGAGGTGTCTTGGCTCCGTCAATTGCACCTAGTGCAATTCCTCTTGACATGGGTGATGGCTTGGTGCAGCGCCTGCTCACCTGGCTCGTTTTTTCGCCACCCCGAGAAATGACTCAGGTTGATATCGACCGAGTCACTCGTCAATTTGTGGACACGGCGCATCTGATGGCCGACAGCGGATTCTCCGGAATCGAGCTGCATGGCGCGCACGGTTACTTGATTGGTATGTCACTGCACTCCTGCTACTATTCGTAAGCTAATGAACAGACCAATTCTTGAACGCCAAGGTAGTTACGCCCAGTATCCGAAAGATCTAAGCTGACTGAAAAGTCCAACAAACGCACCGATGAATATGGCGGGACGGCAGAGAAGAGAGCCAAATTTGTGGTCGACATGATCCACGCGATCCGCGAGATGGTGCCGCCGACTTTTGCTATCGGCATCAAGCTCAACTCTGCTGACCACAGCTCTTCGACGTTTGAAGACACGATGACACAGATCGGACTTCTCATTGAAGCAGGCATTGACTTTTTGGAAGTCAGCGGCGGCAGCTACGAGAACCCCACGGTCAGCACACGTTATTTGTTCATACTCATGTTCAGACTGACATGTCTTAGATGATGGGACCCGAGAAACGCCCGAGCACTGTTGCTCGGGAGGCATTCTTCATCGAATTTGCCACCGAAACCCGCAAGCGCTTCCCGAATCTTGTGCTTATGTTGACGGGCGGTTTTCGGACCCGTGCTGGCGCCATGTCTGCTTTGCAGCAGAATGCGTGCGACGTGGTGGGAATTGGACGCCCGGCTGCGATTGAGCCGAGACTGCCCTTGATTCTGATGGACGAAAGCGTTTCGGATGAGGAAGCGCAGTTGGTGCTGAACCGGGTTCCGATGCCGTTCCTTGCACGGTTGCTTCCACTGAAGGGGATTGGAGCTGGGTTGGAGAGTTCCTTCTATGCGAAGCAGATCAAGCGGATTGCGATGGGATTGAAGACATTTCTCCCGTAGTGCTGCCGTGTCGAAGGATGAGACTAACATGTATAACAGAGACACTAGAATATAGATAGAATTAGATAGAATATATTATAGAATACAAATAGATTTGTGGTATAGACGATAGACTATCAGAATCAAGGCTGAATTGTATCATCGATGTCCCCAACAGGTTCATATTGTACCAAGATAACTAAAGTAGCACATTGCTTGCACACCAAGTGAAACATATTATCATTATGATATATGCATTACACGAGAATTTCACATCAATCTATATGCGTTCCAGCATTATATCGCTACAAGTATCAAACGTAGCACTCCATACTAGCACTTCATCACCACACCACATAACCAAAAAGTACACCGCCCTCCACACCGCCCCTAGCCCAACCAACCACAAACACCCCTCACCCCCAAGGCACACCCATTCTACCCGACAAATCCACCTCTACCAATCCTATCCCCAAAATTTTCTTATCAGCCAAAACCATCACCACTCCCCCGGCCATCTTCACCACCCTCCCTCACCCCCAGCTACATCCCCTCCCCCGGGAGATAAATCATTAAAATGCCCCGCGCCCTCAAACACCACGAGAAAAAACTCCTCCGCAAAGTCGACTTCCACACCTACAAATCCGACAACAACCACCGAGAATCGCAAATCCGCACACGCTACCACCTGCAAGACCCCCTCGACTACCGCAAATACAACCAGCTATGCGGCTCCCTACGCCAACTGGCGCACAAGCTATCCGAACTGGACCCCGAGAGTGATCCCGTACGCAAGAAGCTCGAGTCCGAGGTGCTGGATAAGTTGTTCCGCATGGGCATTTTGAAGCAGAGTCGCGAACAAGGAGCGGGGCTTTCGAGGGTTGAGAGGGAGGTTACGGTTAGTGCGTTTTGTCGTAGGAGGTTGGCGGTTTGGATGGCCAGGAGTGGGATGGTGGAGAATGTTAAAACGGTATGTCTCTCTCTTTCATTCATTTATATTCTTGTCTATTTCCTTGGGAAGAGAGGTGAGGATTGTGCTAACGGCGGGGCTGTGTAGGCTGTCACCTTCATCGAGCAAGGCCATGTTCGCGTCGGGACTGAGGTCGTCACGGATCCGGCGTACCTTGTTACGAGGAATTTGGAGGATTTCGTGACTTGGGTCGACTCTTCGAAGATTAAGAGGAGTATTATGCAATATCGGGATAATTTGGATGATTTTGATATGTTGTGATACCTCTATCTATTTCATTTTGTGGGTTCAGTTGTTGTTTGTGGGTTTTCGGAGTTGGGAAAAGTTACTTATACTTATGTTTATACTATACTATACTATATTGCTGTGCTATGCTGCTACTTTATTTACTTGAGTATTGGATTGATGCATATGCATACTGGATATGGTGTTGTGTCTGTATGATTCGTATATCATTATAAAGAATGCATCTAGCTGGGTATCAAATGTAATCAATCATCCGCCAGAAAATAAAGCACGCTGGACTGATAACAAGGCTAGTATACTCCAGGAAATTGGTCAAGCAGTCTTCACTCTCCCTCCCATTCGATGAATCACCGTCTTCCGGCTTAACTTGAAACCCTTCGGAAGGGTCCTCCCTCCCCGCTTACTCTCGCACTCTTCTGGCAAATCCATACGGAACCGCCGTACACTCCCCTCATAGTTCCCCTTTCCATCCTTGCCCTCTTCGAAGAACGGCGTGCGGTGGTCTCCGAATTGACACCATCGCGGCGCTACTCGGCGCCAGAATCCACGGACTCCACTACTGGCGCGGTCGATCTTTTCGTATTCGCGCCTCCGTGTGGAGGGCGATGTCCAGTCGATCACGGTGACGGTGGGTTGCACGGGAGATGTGCATGCTGGCTCGTAGGCACTGAATGTAGCTGCGCGGATTGGAGCCCGTGGGGAGTCGTTTTGGTTGCTTTGGTCTTGGTAAGTCGAGATGGAGAGTGGTGTTCGCAGTGTAGGTGGGGAGCTGGCGTTGGATGCAGAGCGCAGAGGTCGTGGAGGAGTACGTGATGTGCTGGAAGATGGGGGTCGAGATGCTGATGCTGATGCTGATGCTGATGCTGATGCTGATGCTGATGCTGATGCTCGTGGGCTAGGTCTGGATGTAGAGAGGCCGTCGTCTTGGAATAGACGGCATGATTCACGATGCAGAGCTATCAGGTCTTCACGCCGGGTTGTTCGGTCGGATATCGGTGTTAAAGAAGCTGTGGTTGCGGAGCGACGGTGTGAGTGGAGAGAGCTGTGTTGGCTGTGAGGGCTGGAGCGTCGCGAGGAGTGAAGCTGCTCGGGAGATTTGGTTGTTGTTGTGGGTGATGGAGGTGAGGTTGTTCTTTTGCGTTTGGAGGTTCGTCGACTAGTTGTTTTCGTGGAAGATGATGGAGTAGTCGTGGTGGTGGTCTCCATACCGTCCGAGAGCTGCTCATCGGCTACTGGGATAGATACGATGGACGGACTGCCTGCCCCCACGGTGATATCGGTGACTTCGAGGGTAGTGGCGTATACTTCTTTTGAATCAGGGTCGTTCACACCGGGTGAGACGATGGAGAGAGAAGGGACTTTTGTCATCAAATAGGATGTAGGTGTAGGTGTAGATGTATGCTCTGGCGCTGGGCTGAGCGGTGGGGAAGAGATCGTAGGAGAAAGAGGACGATGGTTGGAAGAGCCACCAGGAAGATCGGGGCGCTGGCATGTGAACGTGGCCGCCATCGTTATTTGTGCCTGTGCCTGGCCTGGCACTTCCAGGGCCGAGAACCGTAGCGGGATGGGGATGTGTTTGACTGAAGAATGACGCGGTCCAGCCGGATTCACATGCTCCCTGCCGAATGGCACCAGTCAGGAGAGCAGTGAAGAATGCGCGATCAACAGCGGGTGAACATGCTTGTGCTATAAACAGAAATAGGAGAAAAGCGATCGAAATAAAGATGGGGTAAGAGAGTAAATGAAAGAACGAAAGGAGGAAAAGGGTGTGTTCTATGGGAGTATGTCAGGAGGACAGAGAGAACCCGATAAGATTAGGGTTCTGAGAGGGGAGGGGAGGGGGGAAGTTGGCTGCTGGCAAGGGACAAATGATGAGGGTCAGTCGATCTTCAGAACACGAGGATCATCAGCACGTTTTAGGGATAGTCACGATGTACTCCGTACAGTGTAGGGGTTGTTTGGTCCAAGAAAATGAAAGACAAAGGGGGAGGATTTGCGGGATGAATGAATGCACCTGGCAAGGAAGGGATGAATAGATAGATACGTAGTTAACTAGGGGTGGGTTCGAGACAGGTCTTATTATAAGTAGAAGTAGACTACGAAAGATGAACTAAAGATTCACCGACCAGGCATGCCAACTTCGATTTTAGTTTCTTTGCAAGCGCCTGCAAGACCCTCTCCGGCGGCAGACCAAACCGGTTCAGTCTTTAAACACGGGCTACTTTTAGTTTAAGAGTGTGGAACTGCCAGATGATCGTATCCCTGTGTAGAATCGGGGTTGACGCCAATTCAGCAAACCCGTCCCTAACTAGTCAAGCACGAAGCATAATGAGAAATCAAAACACTTGCTTTGAAGGCCCAAAGAAAGAAAGAAAAACTCCCCGCATAGTAGTCTCTCGCCCGAAAGTTAATACTATTGAAGATTCAGTGTGATAGGTCCAGAGACCGATCTATCATCTTTTGTTCTTTTATTTGTTGTTTTTGTTTTTCTTTCTTGCTCTCTCTTCTTTGCAGCGGGGCATGTCACCATCCCCCGTGTTGTTTGTGTGTGTGTCTGCTGCTGGTGAGATCTCCTCCCCCTTGCAGTTCACCAATAAGACTAACGGATAATACTAACAAGAGGGATTAGTACTAGTAGTTGGATCATGTCCCTGCATGTCAATGGAGTGATGGTCTCCAATCAGCACCATCAGCCACCAGGGGGGGGATCAAGGTACCTTTTGGAGTTTCCCACCCGTGGAAATATTCTAGTGTCCCCGTTTAGCCCCTCCAGCTAAATCCTTCCACGCGATGGTGTGAATGTTAGTGAGCTGGGATGATTGCACCATCAATTGCCCTGGCAGACTGGCAGTAAAGTACTGACTTCCCTTGCTTGCAAAGAGGAGCCATTGGGGATCCAGACTGCGTCCACCGGGGTTTGTGAAGCGAATCCATTGGATTGTTTACTACTACTATCGACTTAGTGTCTCCTGCCAGCCAATCTGTGGTTCGGCGCCCCGCCCGTCGCTCATTCCACGGCTTCTGCTTTTTCACCGCCAGTTATTGCAGGCGCAGATGGATTCAACAATAATTAATGGAATAGTCTGTCTGCTTGGTAGAAATTTACCGTACCGAAGATAAGGTACTCATATTGATAAATTCTACAGAAATCAGTTGTTCTCAATGTGTAAGTGGGAGTGTGCGTGTCTTAAATTCTCCCCAGACACCCTCCCCTCCTCCAAGAATCCAGTAAGCGCTATCTCAAACAGCAACATTCCCTGTTGTGAAACCCCACCATGACGCTGCCTGCAGATTACTCCTATCGACACTGCATCCAAGTTCTGTCGCAAATTTGGGTATCCTCCCATATGTAGCTTGTAGCCTGACTGAACCTTCCAAGCGCCCGTATGGCACACAAACCTAAAACTTCCTGCTTCCCAAACCACATCGGCGCTATCTCATGTGCCAGCATTGCCAAGCCCAGTTTCACTTACCGCCATTGCCCTCCAATGACTTCCACCACACCGCAATCCTGTGATCTTCATCTTTCGTGATCCAGAAGTGTGCTGCTTTGGTCGCTCAGGCGAGATACGTCCCATTCCCGCTGTGCCTTCTCCATACTCAAGTGCACTACTAACCCGGGGATGCAATACTAGCCAATCGATTGACAATCTTCGAGAAACCCCCCCCGCCAGATAATACCCGAAGCTGCGTGGCCACCGTCGATCTTGGCTTCCTACCACTAGTGACGTCTTGGCATGCCCTACGCTCGGCCATTCTCTTATGTTCCTCTGTTGGTCTGCATGCATATAACGTGTCGAGAGGTCTTGAGACAGATAGCACGTGGGTTGCCAGCATGGGTGTTGGGATATTTTGTCCGTGGTAGATGACATGAATAGTCTTGTAGAACGAATTCTACTAATTCTGTTCCTTTAAGATATTACTATTATACCTACTATCATCTGCTTTCTAGTCTCCGAAGGCTGGCTGCCGCTTAGTGGTCTGTAGTAATAGTAGTATATATTGTAGCCTGATGTAGTAATATCGAGATAATCGAGCGGAATTGCATCCCTACTACAACGTCAGTATGTCTCGTAGACTCAGGAAGCCGTGCTACAGTACTGGTATAGTACAATATACAAACGGCTGCTACTTCTATTTTTGGCCCAGTTCTCTCTATAGCAACCTGTCGGAAAGTCCCTTATTTAATGGTGATGGCAGCCGGAATACACCTCCGCTGTTCGAGGCTCGTTTTGATACGCCCGAAATATTACCTTGAACTCGCTGGTGTCGACAGCTTCTGTTTGCTTGAGGGTAACCAGATATATTTCAACAGCTGTTATCGTGTAGGATCGGTTAATTCTTCTTGTGTAGTCGCAAAGGTCCTAAGCTGCTACGGACTCGCTTGCTAAAGACTCATTAATCTCTGTGAACTTGGCCGACGATAGACCAGGGAGGTTCATATAGCTATGTTACTAGTAATACCCAGCTGGATTTAGTATACTTCACTGGGCGGGAGCCTCAGTCCTATACTTAGACCAGACATGGTCAAAACCTTGGCTCTCGGCTGTAGTACCATGGAATTCATCCAACAGAACTATAGCGACTATACCTCGAGAGTAAACACTTCCCTACGAAACGTGAATTCTCCTACTCCCATTGTAGGGATAGAGCAGTAACCCTCATTTTGTCGTATTCATACTGTACGGTAGTTCTTTATTTCGGTATCGAGGCTGTTCTGCTCGTGAAGTGACAGGACAAGGTAGTCGCGTCTCGTTGCCCGATACGGCAGGTGTTACTCCCATAGTAGACTGACTCTTTGTCGCCCACTTCACTCCAGCTTCTTCTCATTCACACCCCGACACAACCCAAGGAGAACCAAGCTGCAACCTTGACAATCTATGAGGATATACAGACAGAGCCTTCTGACCATATACTTTTGTTTTGGACTCATCTACAAGCGTTTTCCATGGATTTGCAGAGCTATAGGACCTATTGTTAGTACCCAACTCATATTGCAGAATCCTGATGCTAACGATACTACATTTACGTCCAAATCTGCTGAGATACTTATGGGATTGCTACGATGAACTCAGAACTGTGACAGCGTCACATCAAGCTGGTTCATTCACCATGTCGTAAGGGAAAGATTCACTGGTATTTAAAACTCTTCCCTTCCCCCCCAGGGAGGCTGGAAACTTCTTCTCCCACATATTTCTGCCATCTCCTTCTCATCTTCTCTTCCATCTCTTGACATCTCTCTGCCATCTACTTTCATCTACTTGCCATCTCTTTCCATCTACTTTCATCTACTTGCCATCTCTCTACTATCTCTTGACATCTACTTTCATCTATCTGCCATCTCCTGACATCTATCTGCCATTTCCTGCCATCTTCTGTCATATCCTGCCATCTACTTGCCATCTATCTGCTATTTCTTGCCATTTCTGCCGTTTTTGCCATCTACTGACATCTATCTGCCACATAGCCTGCCTTTACTTACCAACTAACCTTCCAGATCTTCTAGTAGGTACCCCAGTTATCTCCTGTCATCTACCTACTCATCTATTCCCCATGTGTCTGGCTTTTCTGTTTCTGAGCGTGACTGACTTTGGTATAGGACACTCCGACACAACTGGCCTTGGTTGGGTGGATGGGACGGGCCTGGGACACCCACTACACAGCAACCAACAGTAAGTACTCAAATGAGCTGTTGACAAAGATAGCTGACTCTTCTATAGCACACCCAAACTCGACTGGCCTAGGTTGGGTGGATGGGACGGGCCTGGGAAACCTCGACACACGACTAGACACAGTAGACCGGTGAGTACTCCCAGTTATCTACTGATATTGGCTGACATTTATAGAACACCCAAACGCGACTGGCCTAGGTTGGGTGGCTGGGATGGGCCAGGGTAGCGACACTCAACTAGACACAGTAGACCTGTGAGTACTATCCTCCTGACTAGCT